AAAAAAATCAATCAGAGTTCCTATATACTATGGAAGAGAGCTCTGAAAAGGAAGTCAAGAAGATAACACCATTTATAATAGCCACACAAAAGATGAAGTACTTAGGAACAAACCTAACCACAGAAATAAAAGACTTGCACAAAGAAAACTATAAAACACTACTAGAAGAAACCAAGAGTTCTACATAAATAAAAGAATGTTCCATGCTCGTGGCTAAGAAGACCTAACATTGTGGAAAATATCAATGGCATCCAAAACAATTCATAAAAATAATGCAATTCTAATCCAAATCCCAACAGCATTCTTTGAAGAAATGGAGAAACTAATCACCAACTTCATATGGAGAGCAAGGAGACCCAGGATAAACAAAGCACCCAGGATAAACAAATAAGAAGAAGAATAAAGTAGGAGGCTTTTCACTTCCTAACCTTAAAACCTAATACAGAGTCATGGTAGCCAAAACAGCCTGGTAATGATACAACAATAGATAGAGACGAATGGAAAAAAATAGACAATCCAGAAAAATATCCATCCACTTACACACAACAGATTTTTAACACAGGATCAAAATTAAATGGAGAAGACGGTCTTTCAACAAATTGAGCTGGCAACATTGGGTTTCCATTCACTACACATACAAAAGCAAACTCAAGAGGGGTTAAGGACCAAAGTGTAAACCTTAGAACTATAAAAATCATCAATATGAAAATAGGGACAAGACATCAACAAAGTCTCCATGGAAGAAGCACACCAGCATGTGTGATCCAAGGATTGTAAATAATAAAATCTGAGTTATTTATTGTGCCAAATTGGCCGATAAACACAAGTGGGGTTAATTGAAGGGCAGAAGGATAAATGGCTCGGTGAGCCTCACCTTTCTAGTTCTCGGGTCTCGTTTTGTGATGGTGGGACCAGGGTGCAGCTGCCTTAGCAGTTCCCTGCTTCAGCTTGCAAGGCTGACTTCCTGCAAGACATCCCCAAGGAGAAACCGCATGGACCTATCCCAATTCAGCCCTGGGTGCTGGAGCGGCCTTGTGGAGACCCCTGCCAGCACTGAGATGCTTACACATTTACTGACTCGGCTTTCCTCCTGCAGTCAGCATCATCGCATCTGTTTTGTGAGATGGAGGAGGACTTTGTGGATTGGTGCCAGACATATGGGTCAATGGGGTAATGTTGGACTTGTGGGCTTGGGCAGCACTGGGTTTGGATGCTTTCTTGATGCGCACTTAACCTTGATATAAAACTCTCTCTTATGCATGAGTTTCTGTGGATTTGTTTCTCTAAAGTACCCAGACTAACACAAAATCCAAATCAAAAGGAAGAAATAGTTTCAGTGCTTAAATCGTGACTACATGCACAGTTTGCAGAAGGTTATAACATAAATGATAGCAGAAACTCAAAATCCATTTTCAGGGTGCTCACATGGATTAATCCTCCGATGAATCCCATCTGATCATAGTCAGGGGATGTGAATAGCCTTGCTATCAGACAGAGAGCATTGGAAAGTTTATTATGGCAGATGTACTAAGTTAAGATGTAATTCCTTATCATTTGATCTTCCTTTTGCCCCAAAAATGTTTCAGTTCTTAATATTTCCCCCTTTCTTTTTGATTGAGGTTTTTCCTATCTTTTTATCTAGTTGTTGTTGGGATTTTTGTTTACTTGCTTGCTTCTAGTCTGTGTTTTGCATCACTTTCTGTATATGAAATCCAGGATAAATAGATCTACAGAGCAGTAGCTGAATGGTGACACAATGAATATATTTGTATGTTTGGCTGAATAGTGCCACCCAAAATAAATATACATTTTTTAAAAGCAAAATGGCAGTAAGTATTATAATGTAAAAATATTTATATTAAAAATGAGAATGCAAAAAAAAGGCATGAAAAGTAATTAAAAGGTCATAAAGCTACAACAGTTAAAGTAACATTGTATTTACAAATGAACAGACACAGATTAGAGAATCAGAAAAGAAAATACAGAAATAAACCCAAATGTATGTAGGGATGTACCATATGGCAAAGTGGAATCTTAAATCTGTGAAAAAAATATGGATTGTTCATTAAGTGGTGTTGGACAATTGAGTAACCAAGTGGAACTGAAAATAAAACTACCTCTCTATCTCATTCTTTTAGCAAAATAAATACCAGGCAATTAAAGGTATAAAGAAATAAAACCATATGAGGTATTAGTAGAAGGCAACATGGGAGAATACTTTTTATTATCTTAGAGCAGAAAACTTTCTTTAAATATGGCTAGAAACAAAGCCCACATGGAAGAACAGATCAGCCTATGTGATCA